TACTCATCACAACACATGCCCTCCTTAATGCGCATCACCCAGTTACCGCATCTCCCCACCCACCTCCCCTTCCACAACCCTCAGTTTGTTTCCTGGAGTCAAGAGTCTCTTATGGTTTGTCTCCCTCTCTGATTTCTTCCCATTCAGTTTTTCCTCCCTCCCCCTATGGTCCTCTGCACTATTTCCTATATTCCACATATGAGTGAAGCCATATGATAATTGTCTTTCTCTGATTGACTTATTTCATTTAGCATAATACCCTCCAGTTCCATCCATGTCGATGTAATAGTAGATATTCATCCTTTCTGATGACTAATATTCCATTGTATATATGAACCACATCTTCATCCATTCATCTATTGAAAGACATCTTGGTTCCTTCCACAGTTTGGCTATTGTGGACATTGCTGCTATGAACATTGGGGTGCAGGTGTCCCTTCTTTTCACAACACCCACAGCACACTTTAAAAGAGATTGTGTCTGGTGGCAAATCTTTGATTTGATTAATAACCCAATGGAATGTGGGTCTGATTAATTACCCAAAGGAGTTTGGGTTAAGACTAGTGACATGTTAAAATGGGAATTAATATTTAATACCTATTATGTGTTAGATGCTTGACTTAGGGTGGCCAATGAATCTGGATAAACTCATTTTGGGTCAAAAACAAAGTGTAACTATAGAATATGGACGAATGTCATGGATGATTTTCCCACTGGAGGCAATGCAGCATGGCAGGAAAGTATTTGTATTTACTAAGGCTGACAGGTTTGAATTATCATCCTAACACTCTCCACCCACCCTCATCACTTGGCCTGAGTCCAGGCACTTAGACTCTGAGACTTGTTTCCTCATTTGCAAAAAAAGCTGACTAAACCTGTCTCAATAAATTTTCAAGAGTAAAATCTTTAAAAATACAAAATACTTAGCATAATTAGGCCCCCTTCCCTCTTCTGAAGGTGACAACTGTGAGGGGGAAATACTCGTTAGGATGAAGGTGGCCCAGTATTCTTTTTCATTGAATATTATTATTTTATGGTTGCATTTTCCTATTTTCTCATCAGATACCAATTCCAAGGTTATTTGTTACTTTTCTACATGGGGCAAAGATCTGCTTGCCATTTTGGTGTTTTGGGGCAAAGGGACTGTGTGCATGTGTGAGTCACCTAGTTGTGGGATGGGATGATAGAGGGGGTTGTGAAAGATGAAGCTGAACACATAAGTTGAGACCAGATTATAGAGGGCTTTGAATGACATATTAAAGGTTGAGACATTATCCAATAGAAAAGGTGGCTACTAAGAGCTTTGGAGCAGAGAAAAAATAAGTTTTGTCTGTGCTTTGGGAAGATAATTGACATGCTAGACAAAATTTCCTGACAGTGGGGTCTGTTTCTTACTTATCAGCACATCCTTTACTCTTCTTTATACCAATGAAAAGAAAAACGAATGGCTGGATGGGAGGATGGGAGTGGCAATCAGAACACAGCGGGAGACCATGATGGGCTGGAAGAAAATGTCACGGAGTTACTCCAGACACAGTGACTGGCTGAGTGTCAGAGCGGAGGAAGATGGGGGAGACTTGAAAAGAACCCTGAGGCAGCTGGCTTGGATGACAGCTCAGGGTGGGTGGCCGGGTGGTTGCCATTAACAGAAATAGAAAACACAGAGTGAGAAACCAGTTCTGAAAATTAGAGGAAACAAGTCTGATTTTAGTTCAGTGAGTTTGGAATTGAGGTGGAAATGTCCAACAGGCAAAGGAGAACACAGGTCTGGGTTGAGCAGAGGTCAAGACTAATGATAAAGCTATGTTTGTGGAAGTCATATCCATAAAGGTGTTAGCTGAAGTCTTGGGGGCAGATGAAATGATCCTTGGAGAATGTTGATCAAGACTGGCCAGTTATAGGAGCATGGAGAATACTCACATTACGGGATGGCTGTAGGACAGGAATCACAAAAAGATAGTAGGAAAAATGGGCACAGATATACGATGAGAGGGCAATGTCATGCAGCCTAAAAAGAGAAGGGCCCAGGAGAAGGGACAAGTGCAAGTCTGGAAGGCACTGGTAGGTTTGCCTGGAGGAGATGGCCCGTGAGCTCTCTGAGAGCTTTGCCACAGGGAAGACTGGAGCTGATTACAGTGATGGGTCAAGTAGAGGCTGGGCTGTTGGAGACAGAAGTGCTTCCTCTTTTATCTTCAACTATCTTTTGTTAGTCTCTTTAGAAGATTCTTCTCTGCTGCCTCAGTAAATGCTGATGTTACCTAAGACTTTGTCCTTGGCTCTATGCTTATAACAGTTAGGGTTCTCTTGGTTTCAAATAACAGAAAACAACTCCAGCTGGCTTGAGCAGAAAGATTTATTGGAAGGATACAGGGTTACCTCATAGGACCCAAAGTGTTATGACTGGGCTTTGCACATAAGCTTTAACCAGAAAGCAAGTACCATAGGGTTTCTCCAGCTTCATTCTTGTTCTCCTCTAGCTATTTCACTTTCTGCTCTCATTGCAAACCAGCTGCCTCGGTTTTCCAGGCCATGTGGTGGAAAACATGTCTGCATTTGCTCCTGAGTCATAACCACCCACTCAGCCACTCAGAGGAGCACTGCTATGTCTCACTCACTCTCCTTCTTGATGTCTCCCAAGGTAAGGGATGGAGTTGATCAACTTGCATGGTTGCCCACCCTTGGGCCATTCAACTGAGGGTAGAACAACAAGGTCACACTATACAGACAGCATCATGTGGACTTGGGGATGAGGGTAGGGACTGGGACCTGGAAGTGAGAAGCTGAAGGGAAAACTTACAGGATGAGGATTTGGATTGGGCCTAGGGGAAGTGATAAGGAGGAGAGAGTGACATGAGCAGCTTCTCACCTCCCCTTTCTTTTTGATCTTTGCTCTGAGAGACTGGACCCTCCTAAGCAGCAAATCCTAGGCGTGCTCTCCATCCTAGACTAGGTGCAATTTCTTCTAAGAAAGTGGAATGGCTGCCTGGCTTTTACCAACTTCCACTCCCTGTGACCAGCCCTCAGTACACTTGGGAGTGTCCAGTGGCCATGTCTATACCCTCTAGATGAACCAGAGTGGACTGATCCAGAGGCCAACCAGAGCCTCTTTCTGGGGTCTTTGGACTTGGAACTGGACAGATCATGGGCCAACTCCTTTTTGGAACCAAGTGAGGCTGATGGTTCATATGGCACAGAGGCGGGGTCTGGAGGTACTGCACTGCTAGTTATCTTGAAACTCAGCTGCACTACTGCCCTCCTTATGTTAAGACTGTAAGCTAGCCCAGTATTTTCTAGTAAGTTCCCTTTGCATCTAAGCTCGTTTGGGTAGATTTCTGTCATTGAGACCGAAAAAAGCCTGGACTAATCCAGGGTCAAGGGAGTTGCCCAATAGCCATTCCCAGCCTGGCCTCTTGCCTCCCACATCAACTGGAGAAAGTGAATCCTCTCTTTCTCTTGTCATGTTTCCCCGTTGAAATAACATCCAAATGGTGACTGCAATTCAAGGTTTTGGCATTATGGCAATTTCTGAAATACTGGCACTTTGTTGGTGGCTTACTCTGATTTCGATATTTAAAAAAATCTAAAATCAGTATCACTTATATATTGAGATGAAGACCAATGACTCAACTATTTAAGTTCTGATGAAAACACTTTCTGAACAAAACTCTACCCAAAGTCAGAAAGGGCTTTCCATCAGCTGTAACAATTTGTACTAAAACACACATGATACTCAAGGATACCTTGGATCCACTTTGTTTTTGAAACAATATTCATTTGTACTTCTCAATGATTTTCAAAGTTTTCTTCATTTTTGATAATGTTTAGTTTGCTGATCTTTGAATAAGATTTTTAAAATAGTCTTTTTATTTTGGAGTAGCTTTAGATTTGCAGAAAAATTGTGAAGATAGTACTATTTATTATTAACTAAAGTCCATTCTTTATTAGTCCTTACCTAATGTTCTTTTTTCTATTCCAAGAAGATCAAATTATATTGTTTTGTCTCCTGAGGCTCCTTTGATTTATAACAGTTTAAGACCTTGTTTTTAAGTTTGTCTGCCAATAATTTGTGTTCAAATGATGCTTGTTTAATTTTTCTATTGTAGAAATGTCTATTTTTACTTGATCTTTAAATGTTTACTGCTTTTAAAATTTGAATTAGATGTTTTCCTAATGTTAACGTTACGATTTCTGAACACTTACAGCTAAAATATTGGCACTGATACCAGCAATTTATGTAAAATACATACTGAGGGTCCCGTGTCACAGTTTCTGTTCCGGTACAGCAATTACCAGATCCCACGGACCGACGGGCAAAAGACGGAGAATGTGAACGCAGACGGCACAGGCTCTTGGTGCAGGCAGGGCTACCCACAGCCAGGAAGTGTGCAGCAGAGGACAGCAGAGTAGCCACACGAACCCCACGCCCAAGCCATCTGAAAGGGCTCCGCAAATAAGTCTTTTGCTCCCAGTATCCTTCCTTATTGCACGCTGTCCTTCCTCTGTATACAGCTGGAGAAGACTTACTTGTGTCAGCCCAATCTGGTTTTTTTTGCCCTAGGGCCATTTTTCAATGATGATTTTGACACTGGGTCCATTATGTTAGAGAAATCTTAAGTCCTTGTTTTTCCAATGCTTTTTTGCTCATTGCTTGGAACATCGTTAAGCACTCAGTACACACTGGTGCTATTATTTGTTCAAAAAAAGTTGAATGCAAGAAGGAAACTGGTACCACTGGCAGGAAAGAGTGACTTCTCTCCAGACATTAGGAACCAATGAGAATTAGGGAGCGAGCAGGTGGAGTGGTGAGGACTAGTGAGTGGAGCACCCCAGCCCACAGTGTGGGTGAGTGTGGTTGGTTGAGAGTGAAGAGGAAGCGTGGGGGCCCGCCCTAGTGGCCAAGCCAGCAACAGCCTCGCTCAGGGCTGCTAGCCCCATGGAAGACTACCTGTAATGACCACCTACCTCTAGGATTCTGCGATGCAAGTAATAGCAGCATCTGAAAACCACAATGGAGAGTTTAATCACAAGTATGCAGCATAATTACATCACTAACGGAGCAGAGTTTGACATTTAAATATACATTACAATCTATTTGTCTCCCCAGAAGTTGCCAAAAGCAGTTCACAATAGTTAGGCTTCATTTTGTCCATAGTTCATGGCATATTCAAAGTCTTTAAAGCTGACAAGACCGTCTGAGTCTTGATCTACTTCCCTGGAAAATGAAACAAAAAATTATTTAGTTATTTACAGGTTATTTTTGTTACACTTCTTCATCAAGAGAACTCTACAATCTTTATTTCTTTGCATGTCTATGAGTGAGAGGCACCTACTTGAAGGCAAATTTGATGCCTATTTTTTTCTTACACTGATAATGCCTATGGTGGGAAGGAAAGGAAAAGGTATTTACTAAAACCTACAAAAATAATATATTCAATACATTTAAAGGAATGAAGCCAAATGCACAGGTTTTTTTTTTTAAAGCAGAAATGATGGTTTTTGTCATCATCCTGTGCATTCTTTCTGTGATATAGTAACAAATATATATGCAATACACAACAGAAATGTGGAATAAACCAACGAGAGATAAGAAAAATGTTTGGGGAATAAATAGCAATGATGGGAACAATGATTGACATCTGCACTGAACTGCCTTGGCATTCCTCGTCTCATTGAATCTCGGCATGGTGCTGGGATGGGTCCACTTTACAGACAGAGACACTGAGCTGAAAGCGGTCCACCAACTTCACAAGATCACACCGCTGGTAAGTGGGCAGACTTGGAACGCAAATCGAGACCATGACATTCCCAAACCAAGGCCCTGTAAGTACTCTACTGCACGTTGCCTCCCTACGTAAATAGACTAGTCCAAGGAGAAGGGGTTGTATTGCAATTTTACGTGGCTAACTCTAGCTCCAGAAGTCTTCACTGGCCTCAGAAGTTGTGTTAAATCCTCACAACATCCGATCAGCTTTTCTGACTCCTAGGAAGAGCAGTGAAGATGGGAGCCTCTGGCTGGTTGGCTGAGGCTGTGGGTGGCCTCAGTTGGGTTGGCCCTGTGTGTCTCGAGAACCACTGAGACAGGAGCATTGCTCCCTCAACGGAGACAGAGAAATCGCGCCCCCTCCACATGGGAAAGATAACACATGTCAGAAGGACAAAAATCACATTAGAAACACATTTCAACCATGACCAGGAAAGGTAACGTTTATTTCAGAAGTGTGTTTGAAAGGGTAACTGATGAGCAGTGGTCACAATTCCTCTTTGGGGGGCCTTCTAAAACAATGCATTACATTCCTTATGTAGAGCTCTTGTGGTTGATGCAAATTACATTTTGTTGAAACAACAAATGGTATCAACCATGACATAGGGCTTTTGAAAGCAAAGACTGGCCCAAGTAACAGAGCCACTAATCACTGTAATAGTTTTAAAGCAGGCTTTTAAAATATTGAATTCTAAAATAAACTTTCTGAATATTTCATGCCAAAGTCTCCGAAGTCTATAATGGTTCTGGATAGTGATGATAATTTTTCATTCTTTTGAAGTAGAGAAAATCCCTACTTCTCTGCCCCAGGGCGAAACCATGTTGCAGTGTGTTCGTAGAAAATGACTGCAGACTGCAGAGGCCATTATTCTTGCTACTTCTTTTGGTAAAATATACATGATGATTTCATGCTATACAGGACCAAAAGCAGAATGTCAGATCTCTTCTAAGGGATTAGAAATAATCAGTATCACATGTTACTGACTATGGAATATAAACCTTCCCTTTTATTAAATTAGATAATTGAAGATTCTTAATATTGCCTACATGTTTTTTCTGAAGGAATTGGATTAGATAAGTGTCCTTTTTTTCTTTCCACTCTGAACTGGTATGGTTGAACTATAAATCCCAGAGGGTGGGTTAAGAGGATAACTAGAAAAGTAATGTTTAGAATAAACTGCTTCCGATAATATTTTCTCAGTGTGTTTGTTCACTTACTGAGATGCTGAATGTTTGTGGAAAAGGGAATCCCTTTTTCTCAGTAAATAATCTTCATTGTAATTGCATTCACTTATTTTTCTTGCTGTCTTTGCCAAAACTGCCCATCATAAAATGGGCACGGTATAACCAAGAATCGTTAAAATGGAAACATTTATTCATAAGGTTTGTAGTGGTATTTTATTCACATAGTGAATGGAGGAACATTGTGTTTATATTTAGAATGAGACGGGGTAAAATATCTTCTATCTTCTGACTTTTCCTCCTCATTATTGTGTGTGTGAGAGAGAGAGAGAGAGAGAGAGAGAGAGAGTGTGGTCTGGTTATCTCAAGGAGGGTGAAGAGGAAATTCATATTTCAGAGCTATAATTTTAAAAGCTGAAATATATTGTTTTTCATTGCGGGCGGAATTGCCTTGAAGAAGGAAGGTTTCACAGCACCCACACTTGAATAGCAGAGTGGTGGAAGAACAGATGTGGCTGGTGGCTAGAAGTAGTCTGCGCGGAGATGAAGAAACGTCATTAGGACCAAGTTTCATTGTTCCTGTTTACCACATTCCACCTCAACAGGAGTTTGCTCTGGTTCTGAAAGGAGGGTGTGCTGTTTTGGTGTCACCAACACACATTGAGCACAAAATACTCCACTGCCTTTCACCCCAACTAGAAATGAATTCAAGGAGGGTGAGAACTTTCTCCTGTTTCTGGCTGTGTCCCCACCTCTCAGCCCACAGCAGACGACAAATGTTTGCAGAGTGCATGAATTTGTGGAATCAACAAATCTGGAGAAACAGCTGACAACATTATGGAATATCTACCAACTCCCAGGAAGGGTTGGGGGTCAAAGAAAGAGAGTATATTGTCACTGCTTTTACGGAGCCTGGAAACCAGCCAGAGAAATAATATGCACTGAAGAAGGCCCCAAGGAACCATCACTCAGGGACCCATAAGGAATAGTCAATTATGGTCTCCACACCCAATCGCATTTTGTAAACACAGACTAGGTACAAGACAGACCAGGTGAAAGAGAGATGAGCTCTGGCAAATGAGGCTGCAGAGCAGAACACGGATAGAAGGAACCACTTGAATGTCAGACTGAACAACACAGAGATAAATACAGAGCAGGAAATTGGAAACTGAGGCAGATGCTAGCCACATCTGAGTCTAACCTGCCCTATAGCCGAAGCCCGAGCACTCCGACCCAGCTAAGTAGCAGCTCTTCCGCCAGACACGTGGATATAGATACAGACAAGTATATAGGCATCTATTTCAGAACTGGCTTTTTTTTTTTTTTGAGCTTTTATATTTGAGTTTATTCTTCATTTAAAACACTACTATAGTTGAATATTAAAACAAAAACAATAGCAAGTAGTGAGCTATGATTATAGTCCTTCACTCATTCACTACTGCATATAAAATGCCAGCAGTGTTTTTCACTGGCCCCATGAAGAGGTCTGACACTGAACACCACCCCTGGGATGATGTTCATCATCCTCATAGGCTTCCCTATTGTAATGGCGCCGTCTTTCCTGATTTGGATCAAAGTCCACCAGTTCTACCTGGTCCATTTCATCAGTCTCTTCTACTTCCTTCCTCTCAGGTAGGAGTTTTTCCAGCAAAGAAAGTTTATCAGGAGAGAGAAAGCCATTCTCAGGAAAGTTTACCTTAAATTCAATGATAAGGCGACCCTTCTCATATGGTCTACGATAAATTGGCATGCCTTCATTTAGCACACACTTGATATCTCCATGCTTGACAATTTGACCTGGGTGAGAGGTGATGACGATGGTTCGGTTGTCAAGAGTAGATACTGGCTTTTGAAAGCCACACAGCGCTTCAACCAGCTGTATGTCCATACACATGAAGAGGTCTTCTCCTCGCCGAGTAAAAACAGCGTGGTCCTTCTGATCTAAAACAATGATAATATCTCCTGGTTCCAGTCCTGGTTCTTGGTCTCCTTCACCATGGAATGTTATCTTCTGGCCGTCCTTCATGCCTTTGTCAATATGAACTTCTAGAATCTTCTTCTCTCGAACTATCTTCCTCCCATTGCAGCTTTTACATCTGTCTTTGGGACTGATCCGTTCCCCATGGCCCTGGCACTCCATGCACACAGACTGAATTTGCTGAACCATTCCAGGTCCTATCTGATGAATTCTTATTTGTATTCCAGCAAATGGGCAATTGGGACAACATTCGACTGCTCCTTTCTTACCACCTCGGCCTTCACATTTATCGCAAATCACATTCTTTTGCAGAGCTAGTTTTCGTGTTGCACCATTATATAAATCTTCTAAGGTTACTGAGAGCTGATGCACAACATTTTTACCTCTCCTTTCTCTCTGCATCCTTCCTCCTCCTCCAAAAAACATATCAAAGATGTCCATGGGGGAGCCAAAACCACCACCAGCTCCACCTTCTTTAATTGCCTGTTCTCCTCCTTTGTCATATAATTCCCTTTTCTTTGCATCAGAGAGTACTTCGTAAGCTTGAGAAATCTGTTTAAACTTCTCTCCTTCATTTGGATTCTTATCAGGGTGGTACTTCAAGGCCAGTTTCCTGTAGGCCTTTTTCAATTCCTCTTGGGTGGCTTTGGGTTTGACCCCCAAAACATCATGGTAAGTGGTTTCTTTCACCATTTCCTACAGCCGGTGAGAGGGCCGAGGCCAGTGTGGGGGAGCGGGAAGGGGTGCGTTGCTGGGCGCAGCTCGGGCAGCCGCCGCTGCTCCGCGTCTCACCGAGCGTTCTGGAAAGTTCCCCAGAACTGGCTTTTCAAAGGAGTTAACAAAGCTCATATAGATGTAACGAGAGGAAAATGTAGATGTAACGGTTACAATGGTAACCGCTTTCTAGAAATGTAGGTCCAGTTAGATTGAAAGCTTCCTGGTTTGCTTGTTTTTGAGATGCAAAAGGAAGATGTGGGACTGATTTGTGGAGCAGAGACTCAGCAGAGCTGAGCTGCTCTGTGTAACTCGGCACGAACTATTTAGGACCCTCGGGTGGAAGGGGATGACAAGCCAGATAAGAGAGAGAAGAGGAAGAAGGGGCATGGAGAAGCAGAAGGTGGGGACGCTCCATGAAGGGAAGTGGCCCCTGAGAAAGTCTGCAGGGGTGTGGTGATCAGAAGCCCTTTAATTAACTGCTACGTTTACCGTGTGTTTCAAAGGTGTCTGTATTACTCGTTATAACCTCCCGTATCTTCACCAAGGGGTGCAACAGGCACACACTCTACTGGGG